GAGCGCCGCGGCTACTTTGCCCACGCCTCGGAGAATGAACCTCCGCGTCTGCAGAGAGGGCGGATCCCCGAATCCTTTCCGAATGATGCGGCGATCGAACATCGATACTGCCGAGCGGATGTCATTTTGAGGAAAATCTGCAAGAAGACGATCTTTCGTCAAGCAGGCCGCATTCTGCACTCTCTCGAGCAACTCTGCCTTGTGGGCGCCCAGAGGACCACCCCAGAGCAACGCGGGCTTCCCAGCAGCCAAGAAAATATACTTCCCCCGAAGGTCTGACATCACGGTGGTCGCGATGAAGCCGGGCGCCTCCCCGTGCGCACCCACGCATGGCAGCGGTTCGGCGCTCGCGGCGGCGGCGCCAGAGGCAGCCAGCATGGCGGCGGCGGCGCCAGGGGCAGCCTGCCTGAGGGTCTGAAACGCACGCCCGCCCTTGAAGACAGCGCCCAATGTCTCCACCATGCAATCGATCTGCAAATGCGATGAAGCGATGTCGTGGTTGGCAACGTCGAACAAACGCAAAAAACAATTGCAAATGATGCCCCAATCCGCGGACACGCCGACAGCCAAGCAAAACTTAGTGTCAAACTTTCTCAATAAAGTCAGGGCCCGCTCACGCTTTTCGCTCTCGTGACGTTTGTCCGATGATATGTGCGCCAGCAAAGTCGCAACTGGCAACAAAATCAGCGCAATCTCCCCGACTGGCCCCGCCGTGGAATCGAATCCTTGCTCGGCGAAGGAAAGATTCCGCACGACTGCTTCCAAAGGCTTGCGACCAAGGCCAGCTCGCGCCACAGGCGCGATGTTATCCTCTTGAATGGCCACGAACAAATCTCTCCACTTGTCGCTGTTCATGATGTCTGGCGCCAGGGCGTGCCGGCCATCGAAAAGCTCGCTCCGCGCCTCACCGAACGCGTCGTCGCAGCGCAAGGATTGGCTCGCGATGCGCGTGGCATGCGGGGGGCCTCGAATCACGATGAGGAGGTTTGGAAAGAGCTCCCGGGCAGCGAGAAACACTGCTCGTCGTTCCTTCGCGGCACCATCTGCTGCAATACTGGTGACGGTCGCCAAAACGTGCGACTTCAGCGACTCATCGCACGCCAGAGGCAGCGCTTTTCTTCGGCCCCGCCACAGTGGCGCGCAGAACCTCGTGAAAAAACTGCCGAGCTGCTTGGCGGCAAACGCGGCGTGGTCCTCCTCAGACTCCGCTGCGCGACTTCCTGCAATCGAGGATGCCGAGCACGCCAGAGCGGCAATAGCCTGAAGCCCCCGCGTTCTGAGCGACGCCGCCGCCGACAGGGGCGGGCACGTCAGCGCGATATCTAACGATCTTGCGGTACTTCGACTCGTCCACGGATAAAGATATCGCTGTGGCGTTCCGCAGCACCTCGCGAGTTTCCACGCGATGTACCTCCGCCATCACGCAGAGCTGCTTGCGCCTGCGTTTCCGAGTTCTCTCCTCCGTCGGATCGTCTGCGGAGAACTGCTTCCGCTGCGCGCGAGCGCGCTTGCGCAGAGAAGACGTCTCAGAGAGCATCGCCCAAGCATCCCTCCATTCCGCGGCCGACGGCGCATCTCCCCGCAGAAGCGCAGCGTCTGCCGCCGCCATGCCCCCCCATCTTTTCTGCTGAAGGAACATCTTCGCACGCCAGAGGCAGTGACTTAGGCGAGAATTCTGCGCATAATCTTTCGACCTGCTTCACTCCCGCTGCGTGTCGATGCGCTGCTGACCTCTGGTGCTGTTCCACTTGGAATCTCGCGTGGAAGCCTGTCACAGGGCGGACCTTGAAAGAAGCAAACTTGGAGAACCTGCCGTCTGAACTTGTCCGCCCTACGGCCGCAGCCTTCGCGCGCACTCGGCAACCCAACCCCCACTGGCCGCGATGCTCGCCTGCAGCCAGCCACGACGAACCATTCGGCAAGAGAGATAGCGCCGCGCACGTTTTGCGCCGTCGGTGAAAATCGCATCTGATACAGAACGCCTTGTTGCAAGGAGAATGCTTGGCGAAGTGCTGCTCATCCGAGTCGGTCACTGTCCGACTCGTTCTCGCCTCGGTCACGCCCTCGCGAGACTGAACCGCCCTGCGTTTTCTCCGCGCCGCGCCAGAGGCAGCACCACCCTTGCCAGATGCGCCAGAGGCAACACCACCCCTTCAACGACGATGCGCCAGAGGCAGCGCCGCCCTCGCCACTGGCAGATATTTCTTCTCGGCGCTGGACGCTCCGCCGCTGCGGGTTTGTTCGCAATGCCCCCGCGACGGCAACGACTGCCCCGCACTCGCTGCTGCCGGTTTTTCTTGTAGATAACCCCCGAATTCAAAATAAAGCGGCACGCGCATCACCCGGCGCAGCGCCCCCGATCGCGGCGCGCCCCAGATGCGCGACGCTCGGCTTGTGCCAAACCGGCTATGGGGCAACAGCGAGCTCGACGAAGCGCGATGATAGCGACGACGACGGCGGCGCTGACCAGGGAAAATTCTACGCGACCGTGAAAAAATAAACACGACCAGGAGAAAACAAAACGAGCCATGGAAAAAACTAAACACGACCAGGAGAAAAATAAACACCACCAGGGGAAAACGAAACACTACCAGTGAGAGAAACTATGGAAGACCCTAGGAAAACTATGGGGGAGAAAAAAAAAAAAAAAAAAAAAAAAAAAAAAAAAAAAAAAAAAAAAAAAAAAAAAAAGGACAGCTAAACAAGACCGTAGGACAACTAGACAAGACCCAAACTAGGAAAACACGATAAGACCATACAAGGCCCTAGGACAACAAGACCATACCCTAGTAACATTAAACAAGACCCTAGGACAACTAGACAAGACCGTAGGACAAGTAGACAAGACCAGAGGAAAACACATACAATACCTTATGAAAACCAGACCAGGCCCTAAAACAACTAAACCTCACCAGACGAAAACTAAACAAGACCGCAAGAAAATCAGACGAGCCCCTCGGCAACTAGACCTAAACCAGACCATAGGGAAACTAAACAAGAGGAAAACTAAACAAGACCGTGGGACATTTAAACAAAACGGATGGAAACTACACAATACCCTAGGACAACTGCACAAAAACTCAATGAGAACTACATAGAACCAGCAAAACTAAACGAGACCCTTCGGAAAACTAAACATGACCCTAACAACAATAAACGAGACCCTAGGAAAACGAAACAAGGCCCTAGCAAAACTAAACGAGACCTTAGGACAACGAAATACGACCATGCCACAACTAAACGAGACCAACGGAAAACTAAGCAAGGCCCAAGCAAAGCTAAACGAGACCCTAGGAAAACTAAACAGGACCGTGCCAAAACTAAACGAGAGCGTAGGAAAACTGAACATGGCCCTACCAAAACTAAACGAGACCCTAGGACAACTCAACATGACCTTACAAAAACTGTAGACCCTAGGAAAAGAGGGGGGGGGGGGGACAGACCCTGGCAAAACTAAACGAGACCCTAGGACAACTCAACAGGACCCCACCAAAACTAAACGAGACCCTGGGACAACTAAACAGGACCCTACCAAAACTGAACGAGATCATCGGAAAACTAAACAGGACCCTACCCAAAGTAAACGAGACCCAAAGAAAACTTAACATGCCCCTACCAAAACTAAACGAGACGCTAAGGGCAACGAAACAGGACCCTACCAAAACTAACGCCTCTTGATTCAAGAGCAACGCTTCCGTTCGGTCTCCACAATCCTCGCCCTCCTCCTTTCTCCACCTCTTCCCTCTTCCCACTCCCATCTGGTGTCTTTAGCCACGTGCAACTGGCCAGCCTGGACGCTCATGCGGCGCCCCCCCCGTGGCAGGGCGGGCGCCAACCAATGGCGCCAAAAGGCTCAAAAGGAGCCCAGCGGGAAAACGTGCTTTTACGACCGAGCTAGTCTCGAAGCAAAACGATCTGGCGAATCTTGCTCGTCGCCCCCCAGCGGCCCCCGTCAGGCCAACAGCGGGCCTGCGTCATTGTCTGCATGTCCGCGCACCACTTGCGGGTGCCACCCTTGTCAGCGTAGTAGACGATGGGCATATGGTGAGCAGGGCCTGGGGGGGCCGCGTAATAGTCGCGCATCGCAACATATAGTTTCTGGCGCATGTCTGAGCCCATGTCGATCCAGGCGAATCTTCTGGCGACGCTCCTCTCTTGACACTGCCAGATCCCCGAGTCGCCACCTTCCGCGCCAGAGGCAGCGCCACCTTCTGCGCCAGAGGCAGCGTCTTCCACTGCCTTCTTCTGCTCCTTCGCCCCCCCCCCCCCTCCTGCTCGCCACCTTCGGCGCCAGAGGCAGCGCCACCTTCTGCGCCAGAGGCAGCGTCTTCCACTGCCTGCTCCTGCTCCTTCGGCTCCTCCGCCTGCTGCTGCGGCATCCTGCTGCTGCGGCATTCTGCTCGTTGTTGATGATGGGCTCCTCCTTCGGCTCCTTGATCAAAGACGCTGAGTACTGCATTGCAGTACTCTGCGTCTTGAAGGGCCATAGCTTGGAAGAGCGTCGGGAAGGAGTCGCGAAGGGCGTCGGGAAGGGCTTGAGATCAAATTGCTACGGATGGTGCCCTTCGGCCGTTTTCAGGCCACCTCAACTTCGCACTTGCACTAAGCTGGCATCCGACGCTAGCGTTGCCAGCAAAGGAACGAGTACCAGCAGCACCTCATGGACAGTCCGGGGACCACGGGGCACTTTGGAAATTGAGGGCAGATCCCAATATTCCTCGAAATCGGGGAGTCGGGGAAGTCGGTCGGGGAGTCGGGAGTCGGGGAGTCTGAGAGTCTGAGAGTCGGGGAGTCGTCGGGAAGTCGTCGGAGAGGCGGCGAGTCGTCGGGGACGATATTATTTTTTCCGAACCGAGACTTCCGCGCGCGGCGGCCAAAAGTCAGAGTCAAACCAGGACGAGGAAGACCGGCCCTGGCCAGGAAGCATGGGGCGCCGTGCAGCAGCTGGTGGCAGCTGCGTCGCATGCACACGTCGTGGCACGCCAGAGGCAGTGTGTCGCCTACTCTTCGTCATCCTCGTCCTCGTCCTCATCCTCGCCCCCGCCGACCTCGTCGACCAGCGGCATCAGCAGACGTTTCGCCTCCATCATGTTTCCGCTGAAATACTTGCTAGCTTTCTCGACGAAGTCGGCGTCGCCGCCCAATTGATGCGCGCACCCCTCCTCCTGGCCCGCCTTGTACATCACGCACCTGTCCACGATGGAGTCGAGCCAGCCCCGATGGTCCTCGTTGCAAGCGACGCCTTCGCACTCCATTGCGCCAGCGGCAGCGACAGCCAAGGCGCCAGAGCCTGGAGTGAAGTCCACGATGCGGGTCACGCTGCGGTGCCCCATGATCGTCTGCCACAGGCTGATGGGCTTCACCTAGTCATACGAGAACGGGTGGCCCTTCGAATCGATGTCTGCCTGCAGGCGCGGAATCCTCGGCTTGGCGCCGTCAACGCCAGCGCAAGATGCAGCTCCCAGGATGCTCGCCTTGGTCTCGTAGCTCAGGCGAGGGAGCTCGGAAAGACGCCGCATTGTGGCGCCAGTGTACGTCGCGTCTGCGGTCGAGGACTCGCCGCGCGCGTTGAACTCCGAACGGTGCACCACCTTCCGCTGGCCCTTGACTGGCAGCGAGAAGATCGCCGTCTCCCTGTTGTTCTTGGTGTAGCTGTGCGCCCTGGCCGGGGACCGCGGATCCTCCTTCTTGTTTGGCTGCTCGCACACGATCCAGCACTCAACGAAAGCGCGGGGGCCTCCTGACTCCAACTTGGCCTCGAGGGCCTCACTGACCCGGCGATTCGCGCGGCTCCTGCCGTCGAGGAAGATGAGGATGTCATCCTTCTGCCTCTTCTGCAAAGAGAACTCGATGACTCGCTTGAACTTCGCCTCGTCGCACGGCAACTGCTCGCACAGCCTCGCCTTGACGCCTTGCTTGACGACGCTGGGCGGGAAGAGCTCCGCTGAGAGGACGAACGCGCGAACGTCGGTCTTCTTCCTCGCGAAGCGGTGCCCCAAGCTGAGCGCGCCCCACACGCTCTGCATCTGCCCCACTGAGTACTCCGCGCCAGAGGCAGCGCCGACAGATACTAAACTGACGAACTTCACTTTTTGTTGCGCAGAAGCTTGAGCTGCTCCTGGAGTTTGGCGAGCTCTTCCTGTTCTTCTTCCCCGAGCTCGGACGCCCCCGACAAGCCGAGATTTGCATCCAGCTCGGGGTCGGCGGGGATCGGCCCGCCCGCGCAGGCGGTCACGAGAGCGCGGTACCTGACACCCAGCTCCTGGCCGGTCTCGGTGATGTACGTGCGCTAGACGAACGCAGGCGCGCTGTTCTGCATCTCCTGCTCGGCAAGCTCGACGATTTCTTCGTCGAAAGCGCCCGACCACAGAGGCCGCGCGACGTCGATCACCGCCTTCGACTTGCAATCCACGGCGTTCCGATACTCAGCTACGCGGAGCGCGAACAATATCTCCACCCCGTCGGCGCCGCCGCCTGAGTCGGACACGCGGTGCGAAGCCACGGGCCCATCCGCGCCAGAGGCAGCGAACCGCTGGAGGACGCGGAGAGGTGTTTTGAATGCGGCCACTTCGCGCCCATGTTCCTTGCGCATGAGAGAGGCGCCGTGGAAAATGTACTCGACGAGCTTCTTTTTCTTGAAGGGCGCGCGGAGCATCCCTGGCGATTTACAATTGCGCCCGCAGGCCCGGCCCACGGCCAGTTTCTCGCCCTTCGGGGCGTCGCCCGCCAGGCGGGCCACGCGGCAAGTGTTCAGGGTGAAAACGAACAGTTCCCTGGCCTCGTCGTTAGAGACAGCCCTTGTGGAGCATGCGAAGCCGATCTTCATGAGAAGCGTAGGTTCGAGAAGCTCTGGGATATATGCTTCGGCCAGCGAGAAAGCCGAGGCGCAGGCGCTGTCGAGGACGAAAGCGTGCAAACCTTTCAGCGCCGCGGCAGTTGCGGCGGTGCACGGGTTCCCTTTGAACTGGGGGCCGTAGGCCTTCAGCGCAGCCTCCAGCCTCGCCACTGCTTCCGATCTGTCGAGACTGGCGCGCGCGCTTGTCAAGCGGCACGCTTTTTCTGCGAACCACCAGAAGCTATCTGCGCCAGAGGCAGCAATCGCAGTGAACATCTTCTCTCCAAACCTCAGGGCCGCCAAGTGGGTCGCGTCCGCATCGGGCAGCGCGCGCGTCCTGATGGGGGCGGGCAACGCGGCGTTGAACAGATGCCACGCGCGGTCCTCGTTGGACTCCTTGAGCGCCTCGCCCATGGCAGAATACCACGTGGTCACCGCCGCGCGGCCCGCGATCATGGCCAGAGGCTCTGTCAAGCTAACCCCAGGCTTGCCAGGCTCAAGGCGCTGGGCGACCTGAGCGTCGACCACCAAGGCGGGGAGAGGCACGTCGAAGGTCAGGCGCCGCGAGGGCGCGTGCTTGGGGGAGAGGAGGAACGTCTCCTCCGACCAGATTCTCATGGCACCCTCGAGCTGACTTACGGCGACGTCGTCGATGTCCGCGCAAACCGGGTCCAACATCCACACCGCCCCCGCTGCCTCATACTCCTTGGTGCGGGGGAAGCTCGCAACCAGGTTGTCGAAGTCCATGACCTCGCGAAACGAAGCGAGGTTAGCGCCAGAGGCAGCATCAGCGATGGCCAACGGCGCAATCAAAGAACACTGGGCGGGCACCGCGAGGGACACCTCGCGCTTGCGCAGCTCCAGGAAGATGAGCAAAGCCTGGTCGACGTAGCCCTTCACTTGGCGCGCCCAGTCCTTGACATCACATTGCTGTGTCGACGCGCTCTCCATCTCGAGGAGCTGATTGATGCGCAGCGGGGCAGGCGGCGCGCCAAAGGCGACGGCTGGCGGCGCGCCAGAGCCAGCGGCGGGCGACGCGCCAGAGGCAGCGGCTGGTGAGGCCGCAGCGGCTGGTGACGCGCCAGAGGCTGCGGCTGGAGAGGCCGCAGCGGCTGCGGCTGGTGACGCGCCAGAGACGCTGGAAAGGCCGCAGCGGATGGCGAGGCCGCCGCCGCCTTCTTCGCAGGCGACGTGGTCGCCAAGTCAGCTGCCCGCTTGCCCATGGTGCTTCGGGAAGAGGGCGAAAGGCAAACTACTCGCGCTGAGAGCCGACGCCGCTGATGATGATGATGATCAAAGCCATCAGGGAGGCGCACGAGAAGCTGAAAACGCACACCAACGAACGCCTACTTTCCCTAGGGTCTCGTTTAGTTTTCCGAAGGTCAGGTTTGGTTTTCCTACGGTCTTGTTTAGTTTTGGTGGGGTCATGTTTAGTGTTCCTAAGGTCTCGCTTGGTTTTGCTAGGGTCCTATTTGGTTTCCCCGGGGCCTCGTTTAGTTTTGGTAGGGTCCTGTTTACTTGTCCGAGAGTCTCGATTAGTTTTGGTAGGGGTTCGTTTGTACTTTTCATCGGGTCTCGTTTCGTTGTGGTAGGGTCCTGTTTAGTTTGCCTAGGGTATCGCTTAGTTTTGCTAGGGTCATGTTTAGTTGTCCTAAAGTCTCGTTTAGTTTTGGCGGGGTCCTGTTTAGTTGTCCTAGGGTCTCGCTTAGTTTTGCTAGGGCCTTGTTTAGTTGTCCTAGGGTCTCGTTTAGTTTTTGCTAGGATCATGTTGAGTTTTCCGATGGTCTCGTTTAGTTTTGCTGGTCCTGTTTAGTTGTCCTAGGGTCGCGTTTAGTTGTGGTAGGGTCCTGTTTAGTTTTCCTTGAGTCTCGTACAGATTTGCCGAGGTCCTGTTTAGTTGTCCGATGGTTTCGCTGAAATTTGGTAGGGCCCTGGTTAGTATTCCTGGGGTCTCGCTTAGTTTTGCGAGGGTCCTGTTTAGTTTCCCCAGGGTCTGGTTTAGTTCTGCTAGGGTCACGTTTAGTTTCCCCAGGGTCTCCTTTAGTTTTGCTAAGGTCCTGTTGAGTTGTCCGAGGGTCCCGTTTAGTTTTGGAAGGGTCATGTTTAATTCTCTGTACGGTCTCGTTTAGTTTTGCTGGGGTCTTGTTAAATTTGCCTTGGTCCCAGAATCTCGTTTAGTTTCCCCAGGGTCCTGTTTAATTTCCCGGAAGACTCGTTTAGTTTTGCTAGGGTCCTGTGTAATTGTCCTAGGGTCTCGTTTAGTTGCGCCACGGTTCTGTTTAGTGTTCCTAAGGTCTCGTTTAGTTTTGGTAGGGCACTGCTTAGTTGTCCTAGGGTCTCGTTTAATTGCGGCAGGGTCCTGTTTAGTTTGCCTAAAATCCCGTGTACTTTTGGCAGGGTCATGTTTGATTTTCCCAGGGTCTCGTTTAGTTTTGCTAGGGTGCTGTTAAGTTGCCCTAAGGTCTCGTTAGTTTTCGCGGGGTCCTGTTTACTTTTCCTAGGGTCTCGCTTAGTTGTGCGAGGGTCCTGCTTATTTTCCCAATGATCTCGTTTAGCGTTGCTAGGGTCCTGTTTAGTTGTCCGAGGGTCTCGCTTAGATTTACTAGGGTCCTGTAAATTTGTTTCTAGGGTCTCGTTTACAGTTGGTAGGGTCCTGTTTAGTGTTCCAATGGTCTCGTTTCGTTTTGCCCGGATCCTGTTTACTTTTCCTATGGTCTCGTTTTTTTAGTAGGGTCCTGTTTAGTTGTCCTAGGATCTCGTTTAGTGTTGCTAGGATCCTGTTTAATTGTCCCAGGGCCCCGTTTAATGCTGCCACGGTCATGGTTAGTTTGCCTAGGGTCTTGTTTAATGTTGGTCGGGTCCTGTGTAGTTTTCCTATGGTCTCGTTTAGTTGTGGCAGGGTCGCGTTTAGTTGTCCTAGGGTCTCGTTTAGCGTTGCTAGGGTCCTGCCTAGTTTCCCTAAGAGTCTCGTTTAGTTTTCGCAGTGTCTTGTTTAGTTGTCCTAGGGTCTCGTTCAGTTTTGCTGGGGTCATGTTTTGTTTGCCTAGGGTCTCGCTTAATTTTGGCAAGGTCCTGCTTAGTCTGCCTAGGCTCTCGTTTAGTTTTGCTAGGGTCCCGATTAGTTGTCCGAAGCTCCCCTTTACTTTTGGTAGGATCCTGTTTTGTTGTCCTAGGGTCCCGTGTAATTTTGGCAGGGTACTGTTAAATTTTCGCGTGGTCTGATTTAACTGTGGCAGAGTCCTGTTTAGTGTTCCTAGGGTCTCGTTTAGTTTTGCATGGGTCCTGTTCAGTTGTCCAGAAGTCTCGTTGTGTTGTGCGAGGGTCCTGTTTAATTGTCCTGGGGTCTCGTTTATTTCTCCTACGGCCCTGCTTAGTTTGTCTACGGTCTCGTGTAATTGTGGTCGGGTCCTTTGTAGTTGTCCTATGGTCTCGTTTAGTGTTGCTAAGGTTATGTTTAAGGTTCCTACCGTATCGTTTCGTTTTGGTAGGGTCCTGCTTAGTTGTCCTATGGTCTCGTTTAATGTTGGTAGGGTCCTGTTTGGTTTTCTTATGGTCTCGTTTAAATTTGGTAGGGTCTGGTTTACTTTTCCGAGGGTCTCGTTTAGTTTTGGTAGGGACTGTTTAATGTTCCTAGGGTCTCGTTTAGTTTTGCTAGGGTCCTGTTTAGTTGTCCTACGGTCTCGCTTCGTTTTGGCAAGGTCCTGTTTAGTTTTCGCAAGGTCTCGTGTAATTTTGGTAGGTTCCTGTTGGTTGTCATAAGATCTCGTTTAGTTGTCCTAGGGTCCCGTTTAGAATTTGAAGGGTCCTGTTTAATTTGGTGGGATCGTGTTTTGTTGTCCTAGGGTGCTGTGTAGTTGTCCTGGGGTTTCGTTTCGCTTTGGCAGGGTCATGTTTAGTTTTCCCAGGGTCTCGTTTAGTTTTGGTCGGGTCCTGTTTAGTTGTCCTAGGGTCTCGTTTAGTTATGGCAGGGCCTCGTTGTTTTTTGTATCATATCCGGTGTACTTTTCCTATGGTATCGTTTAGTTGTCCGAGGGTCTCGTTTAAATGTGCCAGGGTCATGCTTAGTTGTCCGAGGGTCTCGTTTAGTTTTCCTATGGTATTGTTTAGTTGTCCGAGGGTATCATGTAATGTTGCTAGGGTCCTGTTTAGTTGTCCTACGGTCTCGTTTAGTTTTGGTAAGGTCCTGTTTAGTTGTCCCAGGGTCTCGTTTAGTTTTGCTAGGGTCATGTTTAAATGTCCGAGGGTCTCGTTTAAAGTTGGTAGGGTCCTGTTTAGTTGTCCTCGTGTCTTCTTTAGTTTGCCGAGGGTCTTGTCTAATTTTCCGAGGGTCTCGTTTAGTGTTGGCGGCGTCCTGTTTAGTTGTCCGAAGGTCTCGTTTAGTTTTCCGAAGGTCTCGTCCTGTCTCGTTTTCCGAAGGTCAAGCCGAAGGCGACGGCGTCGCCGTCGCCGTCGCCGTCGCCGTCGCCGTCGCCGTTGTCGTCGTCGTCGTCGTCGTCGCCGTCGCCATCGCCGTCGGCGTCGTCGTCGTCGTCGCCGTCGTCGTCGTCGTCGTCGTCTCTGTTCCGTCTTCCGCCTGTCCTTGCAACGCCTGGGCGTGCCCGCAGGGCCCGGGCACCGCCTGGCCGCCGCCACGCTCAGCGCTCCTGAGGGCGGCCGTCCAAGGCTGTGCGGCGCCCCAGCTTGCGCCTCGCAGCTTGACACCTCGAGGACTGACCTGATCCTTTCATCGCCAAGGCGCCCACGACGTTGTCGGACCCGAGCGGCGAGCGCAGCGCCAGGGCAGCGAGGGGCGCGTTTTGCATCCAGCTCCCATGGTCGGTGATGTTCAAGACGGGCCTTGTCACGCCGATAAGGCGGCCGACATGAGGGCATCGCTGGCTGCTTTCACCCCTGGCCTCGTCGATGCCCCCCAGAGCATGGACAACGCGCTGCAGAGCAAGACGTTCAAGCAGCTCCGCACACAGCACCCACGCCCCGACGCGCTGGGCCCTTGGCAACCGAAGGGTGGAATCAAGCGGAGCGGGCAGGCCTCCTGGTTCGGTGACCGAAACCAGCGCCCCACCATCCCGCCCCACCTGATTCACCCCTTCGGTAAGCCCATCCGCTGGCGCCCCTTGATTCACCCCTTCGCTCAGTTTTGCTAGGGTCCTGTTTAGTTGTCCTAGGGTCTCGTTTAGTTTTGCTAGGGTCCTCCTTAGTTGTCCTACGGTCTCGTTTACTTTTGGCAGGGTCCTGTTTAGTTTTCCTAAAAAGGTCTTGTCTAGTTTTTCCGGGGGCCTGTTTAGTTTTCCTGGGGTCTCGTTTGGTTTTCCTATGGTCTCGTCTAGTTTACTTCAGATTACCTAACAGCGAAGACTAATAGGTTTCTAATGGGGTCAAACAAAAACATCTGATGACTCCCCAGGGGGGTCTGGGCGGGCGCCGGACAGGCGAGGGCCGGGCTCGTTTTAAGCAAACAGTCACACACTTCGTGCTCTTCGACCTCCCAGAACTCAATTCCCGGGCCACATTTTGGATGCCCGGAGCCAACTGTAGGCCACTTCGTGCTCTTCGACTTCCCAGAACTCAATTCCCGGGCCGCATTTTGGATGCCCGGAGCCTACTGTAGGCCACTTCGTGCTCTTCGACTTCCCAGAACTCCATTCCCGGGCCACATTTTGGATGCCCGGAGCCTACTGTAAGCCACTTTGTGCTCTTGGACTTCCCAGAACACCATTCCCGGGCCACTTTTTGAATGCCCGGAGCCAACTGTAAGCCACTTCGTGCTCTTCCACTTACCAGAACTCCACTCCCGGGCCACATTTTGAATGCCCAATGCCAACTGTACGCCACTTCGTGCTCTTCCACTTCCCAGACTTCCAATACTCATCATCTTCATCATCATCATCGTCCCCGTAGCCTTCTTGGCTACAGCCCTGCTTTCGAAGATTTCCTTTCAAAGGAACTGCGCG